ATATCAACGGCATCAGTCTACCCCCACCAGAGTCGATCAATCGCTCAGTCTCGCCTATTCGATCGGCTCACAAGCGAACAGCTTCCGGTCCGCAGCTTGGAGGCAGTGACTTGCAAAAGAAAAGGAAGACTACTACTCCGCTCATCACTGGATTTCAACGGCAAAGCTCCGAGGACAGGCTGTCGGTTTCGTCTTCAACCAGTGGGTCTCCTCTACCCAGCTCTCAACTGCGAAAATTAGCCGGTGTCGACGGCGCTTCAGCATCTCCCGCTAGGCCGACGGGTCACAAGAAACAGCGCGACCAAAATGGCCGAACACGTCTAGCACGTGCCTGTGCAGCTCAGGAACTGGAGGTAGCAATGGCGAGGCATGCAGAACGTCCAGAAGATTTGAATGTGGCCGACAATGCGGGAAATACGCCCCTCCAAATTGCTGCGCTCGAAGGGTGTGCGCCGATTGTGAAATTCCTTCTTGAAGCTGGCTGTGACATCGACACAAAAAACATTGACAAAGATACTCCTTTGATCGATGCCGTCGAAAATGGCCACTTGGAAGTCGTCAAACTCTTACTGGAGGCGGGCGCAAATCCTCGCACGGTCAACGCGGAAGGTGATGAGCCGTATGATTTGGTCCCATCGGACTCGGAAGACTATGCAGAAATCCGCCGTGTACTTGCAGAGGCTAAGGCCAATCCCCGGCCGGGTCGTCGTTCTGAAGAGCGTGCTGGTTCCGCAAATAAGGAGATAAGCTCTAAAAGAGTTGCTGCTGCAAGCCCGCGCGAGTCCCCCCCGGTGAATGGACCCCGTAGCCCCCCTCTATTCGGGGCCACTACGAGGCGAAAGACTGTGCGAAGTGAAGCTACGCGAAACGACCTACTTTGGACCAAAGCTACACCCGAGAATCTGCAAGCATTTGCTGCGAAAGGTGATATTGCGGGGGTTGCCAACATTCTCAACGTTGGACAAAAAGCCGACACAGAGTCGATGATAGCTGCAGCCAAGGGCGGTCATGATGAGGTACTGTCTTTGTTGCTTGGGATGGGCGACGCGGATCCGGATCCTGAGCCACTTCAAGGAGGAAACCAGAAACCTGGCTACAATACACCCATGCTTGCGGCGATCGGCCGAGGTAATCTTGCTGTCATACGCTTGCTGCTGGATCAGCCGAAATTCAATCCGACACGCCGGCTTTACCGTGATCGTACCTACTTTGAGTTATCTCGAGAACGGAGAGCTGACAACTGGGAGGAGGAATATGACTTGCTGAGAGAGGCCTATGATAATTACATTAGAGCCAAGCGTCTGCGCAAGCAGGAGGCTTCTTCACCGAAACGACCGCGCGACAGGGAGAAGGAAAATAAGCGGCCGGGTCGCAGACACTCCCCATCGCCCGCGGTTTCTTCCAGGAAGGCCGTAGCAAGCCCAGGCGCCGGTCACCGAGAGCTCTCTTCCAAAGATGCTGTTACATCGAAGGAAAAGAAACGAGATGGTGTAGCTCACTTAAAAGAGAGATCCGGGTCCAGGTCCAATCGCCCCAAAATAGCCCACAAGGGTGGTGACAATCCGGCGGACGCCGATGCGTTTCGGGTGGAGTCTGCTCAGTCCAAATCATTAGCAACACTTACCAAAGATGAGGAAGCTCCCAGGAGAAGGCGTTTGATTGCAGGGCGCCCTCCACAGGATCGCGATCGCAGAAGACCCAGCATACCATCTTCGGATTCCCTGTCAGGCCGTGAGGACTCTGCCAAATCCCGGATCGATCCTTCTACCGAAGCTATGACGGTCCCAAATGGGCCTGTGGCCTTGAAACGCGGACGCAGTAGCGCAAGTCCCGAACGCCCCCGCTCTCGTGGTGCAGATTCCGACCACCACTCACGCGATGGCCAGAAAAAGAAACGGCGTGTTCTATCTGAAGACAGAACGCCAAGCATGATCAATGGTGGAGTGAAGAAAAGTCACGGCAATGGCATAGCAGAGGAGTCCAAAACGCATGTTCGGCCGAAGAAAACCGAAGATCAATTGTTGGAGCGCGAGCGTGATCAGCAAGTTGATAGTACACCGCACATGGCGACCGACTCAAGAGCTGTGAAGAAAGAGCGAGAAAGGCAGGATGTAGGCCACCTGGCTGATATCCCCATGGAAGACGCGAAGACTGTGGCCAAGAGGTCCGAGTCTGAAGAACGGCGCCGGGAAGAGGCGAAACGGGCCGAAAAAGAGCGTATCGCGGAAGAAGAGCGTCTCGCAGCTGAAGCGGAAAAGGTTCGCTTGGCAAAGGAAGAGGAAGAACGAGCTGCCCGTGTGGCGCGCGAAAAGGCCGAGGAAGAGGAGCGCAAACGGAAAGAGGCTGAGCAAAGGCGGATCAAGCAAGCTGAGGATGAGCTTCAGAAGAGACTAGAACAAGAAAGACTGCGCCTTGCGAAATTACGGAGGGAGCAGGAAGAGCAGGAGCAGCGGCGTCGCGCTGCACTTCCTAGTCGGCTTCGTGTTGCTGCCCATCTCGTCGGCTCCAATGACCCCCGAGCGCGGAGTCATGCCTGGCTGAAGAGGTTCATGCCCGTTGTTACTGCATTCACCAAACAACTGGATCCTTCATGTGATACCAGCGTCGCTGACGAGAGATGGGTTCCAAACTACCTGGTGGCACCTTTATTAGCGACCAATGATCTCCAGCTGTCACAGTACACGAGTTGGGAGAAGCGCAATGCGACTCCCACTCAGCGGGAGAATCTGTGGCGCGTCACCCGTCGGATGCTGGTTCAGGGAGATGATATGGACTTCATGAGCTCCTCGTTTGGGCAGATCATGCAGAAGGATTGCGAAACACGGCCGAAATACTTTGACATGGAACACGTATTTTGGGTTAGAGTAAGTCATTTTCTCTTCTCACTGCCTTTCATTATGGCTCAGAATCAGTTCATTTACTGACGTGGTAATCAGCTTTCCGACTTCATGGACCTCGTTCCTCATGTTCCGCATCTCCATGGTCTTGACATTCAATTTCTCAGAATGCACATCGATCAGGAGCCTTTAACAGCAGCACCTCTCCTTGAATCAGCGCAGCCCAACGGACACGGGCCCGAATATGCCCATCTTGATAATATTCATGGCTTTCCTACTGGGATACCCGGGCTTACCAACGGATATGGCCATTCACGGCCAAGTACATACGTTTAGTGCCTCGTGCTTTTCTTTTTCTCTCGTCGCGGCGATCATCGAGCATAGCCTTAAATGTACAGATGGCTTGTTTCCTCGGTTGTATGACTATGATACCTCTTACTATTGATGTGATGTGAGATGTGATGTGTGATGTCTCTTTTGTTCGGATAACGGACCCTTGGATAGAGTCAATGATGCGAGTGTATCGCTCAATGCTGGGCATTTCCCTCTAAAACTATGCCGTAGTACGACCAGTCTTCACTGTTGTGTTTGCTTACTCATGGTCTACACAAATCCGTGAATATGAGTCACGTGACTGTGAAAATGGCATGAGCGCTAGGCGGTAGGGCACAATCCAGAAAATAGGCGAAGTGATGCCCAAAATTTTACCGCCCGCACACACTCAAACAACAGCTCAACAGATCATCTCCACGAACTCTTTGAGGATCATCCGACATTTGATATCAAACGTCAGAAACACCACCAGTCAAAATGGTACGTATCAGCTGAACCAGATGTGACACTTTTCCTGCGATTCAGACACGAAAGTGAGGCCATACAAAGTGAGGGAAGGGGAAACTTGGGCCAGCACCGACGAGTATATCATAGTGCTCTATCGGGAACGCTGCAATCAAGCACAATCCATCAATGCGAATCTCTGCTCTGATGATGTCCTTCACTATTCGAGTCCTGCGCATAGCGCATCAAACCCAGCAAGATATCAGCTAACAATGGAACTTTAATAGTCGGACGGAGAAGAGACCATGTCCAACCCCCCCGTTGCCGCCGCCGATGAGGTCGAGGTTTCCGCTGATGCCGGCGCCGGCGGCCAGATGTCCGTCCTCGATGCTCTGAAGGGTGTCCTCCGCATTGCTCTGATCCACGACGGTCTTGCCCGTGGTCTGCGCGAGGCCGCCAAGGCCCTCGACCGCCGCCAGGCCCACATGTGTGTCCTCAACGAGGGCTGCGAGGAGGAGGCCTACAAGAAGCTCGTCATTGCTCTGTGCTCTGAGCACAAGATCCCCCTCATCAAGGTTCCCGATGGAAAGATGCTCGGCGAGTGGGTCGGTCTCTGTATGTATATCCCTGTTCCATTTTCCGTTTTGTGGTGTGAAACATTGGACGTGGGCTGGGGCTAATGGTGTTTGTGTGACTAGGCCAGCTTGATCGTGAGGGTAACGCCCGCAAGGTCGTCAACTGCTCTTGCGTTGTCGTCAAGGACTGGGGTGAGGAGTCCCAGGAGCGCTCTGTTCTCCTCAACTACTTCCAGACTGAGCAGTAGATGCACTGCCGCTGCGATGTGCTTTAGCGGATGGGATGTGATGTGTGATGGGCACGGAAATGGGGTGGTTTGAAGGGGAGGAGGAGCTTCTGGTTACGTGACCGATGGGCCTGGGGCTCGGGCTCTTCTTCCCTGTCCTCGATACGTGATCCATTCACTTCGGATTCACATTTATCTAAGGTCAACGGACTAATGGAATGAAGAATATTCATGATCAATGAGTCCTACTCGAATCTTTAGTATCAGATGTATGCTTAAAGTCGTAGATGTGATGCTTCTCTATGTCCATTCAGATACATCAAGTAACTGTCAACCATAGGCAACCAGACCCGCAGACTCGTTCCGAGTCAAACCAGCACGGAAATGTCACCTAAATGGCTAATGTATGCACTCACACCCTAAGTACGTCCCCAGATCGAAGGTCCGAGCAAAGCGAAAACTCCAGAGCTATGCGAAAGCTAAATACAATCACCCAAGCCAACGGACAGTGCCAAAGAGCAAGTAGAACGTGTCAAAGCGAATTGTTGGGAGCAAGGTGCCTCTAGGGCACACCCCACTCAAAACTACCTGAAGTCGTATGAAGGACGAATCATCTTCTCCGTCTCTGGCTTCAGTGACAGCTGCTGATACGGTGAGCTTCCCGGGTCATAGTAGAGACCTTCAATGTGCCCAGTATCTCGACGAAGAGAGATATAGTAGAATCCTGAGATTGTGAGGCCCTGGCGTGCGTCGGTGGGAGTGATGAAACAGCGTTCTGTACCGTCATCAGCACAAACCACAAACAGATGGGAGAGGTGGTGAAAGATCAATACACACCTTTCCATCGCATCAAAATCCACTGTTTGGATAGTTCTTCCGTAATCCATTTCCGACTCACAAGGTTCCTTGTCATCTCGTCGTCCGTCAAGTTCTTAAATGGTTGCAGCTCGCGCCAGTAAGTACTATCGGTTTCAGCGTCGGCCTTGAAATTTTTCGTCTCAAGAGTGTGAGTGTTGAAGTCTATAATTTCTCCCTCCAGAAAGGTGACGATATGTGCATCGTGAGACGGCGACGTCTTATCAGGAATGTTGTAGGCTTCCATTGTACCTGAAAGCGTCATCTCTTGGTAGTTGATATTGTGAATGGTGACTTTGACGGGCCAATTCTCATCCTTCCCTGTTCCAAAGTTGGGGATATTATTGTTGGCCGGGTATCGTCGACCGCTTGTGGTATAAACACTAATGCGACCATTATCGCTGCCATTGACAATCACCGGTTCGGTGGCCGGATGAGATGTTGGCCCACGGTGCGCGAAAATCGAGCTGGGAGTGCATGCTGCCATCTGAGAGCCTTTAAAAACCATACCTGGGCGTAGCCAGGAACATGGCGGCGGCGGTGCAATTAATGTAGTATCCAGGATGAAATCATCCTCATCCCAGGAGAAATCGAGCTGAACAAATCCACCTGCGGCAGCCGATGAAAGACTTTCTTCAAAGGAGGTCGAATAGCGCAAACGGTCGAGATATGTAATAATTTCCTTCAAGCGCGGGCTGGGAGGATGATCCATATGCAGCTGCCGATGAGCGTTGACACGAGCGCGCATATCGCCGTGAGTTGAGATCCGGTTGGATTCGCCTCGACTACTGGGTATGAACCGATATGCGCGTGAAGTCGGTGACTGAGTCGCTCGTTCCCTGCCATCTTCTGAATCCTGACTGGTACGCTCCCGGTCCAAAAGATAGTTGTGTAATGTCCGTGTCCTCGAAAGGCGTGGCTGGCGTCTGACCGACTGCAACAGAGCTTCGGCCGTGGCGAGAGTTGTGTCGTCCATCCGGTGTCTACTACTCTCTAAAGGCTCAACGGGGAGTGGAAGGGGGCTTCGTCCGGTCGCATCACGTCGTATGTGGCGCCTCGACGTCGCATTGCGATCCGAGAGTCTGCCAAACCAAGAGGAGACACTGTTGGGATCCTGCAGAGGTTCGTAAACCAGATCATCCTCGTCATCCTCGTCGGAGCCTGGGGCCCAGCCGTACAGCGACCGTATGTTGGAGACACGACCTTCATAGTTCGGCATATTCGTCGGTTCCTCTCGTGTCCGACGCACTATGGGATGGCGACTGATTTCCACGGACATACGCACTCCGGTCGACTCGTCCAATTCCATCGGATCAGACTCGAACTCGGATAGTATTTGATGCCGTCGGCGACGCTGTCGACTTGAGGAAGAAGAGCCGTGCGGAGAGCGAACTCGAGATCGAAGGAAGATCACGTTGTCATCATGAGCGTCATGCGAGGCGGCCGCTGGGAGAGTGAGGACAGGGGTTGAGACAGCGCTCAACTGTTGGAGAGAAGATGCGAATACAGGCGGAGGAGATCGAGCAGAGTTTCCTTGCTGTCCGAGAACGCAGATCAATGAGCACAGGTGACGAGAAGAAAACGCAAAATGTCAAATTAAGCAAAGCAGGCCAGGAACGAAGGGCAGGACATGGCATCGTGCCACGTGCAGTATAGTGGAGTTGATGATCGGGAGCAAGATGTCATAGGCAGATGAGGCACAGGATATGGACCCTTTGGTAAAGTTACGGACAAACGCAGGCACTTACCGAGGGAGTATTTTCTGGGGGCATGGTCCTCTAGATCAGCCCTGTGGAGGTTGACAAACCGGCCGTTGACCTATGGATTGCGCACGGAGACTGGAACGGGGAGACGGAAGACGAGGACGATTGGGAGGACGATGAGGTGGACGAGGCATGCGAGCCTCTCTTTACGGTCGGAATGATAGGCAGTTTAGAGTGAGGAAGAGGCGCTTCGAGATAGTGATAGATCGCGATGAATTAAATGGACGCTGGATGACGAGGGGATCGAGAGATAGAGGAACGAATGACTGGGACTGATGTGAAGGCGATCACGAAATCTCCGTATTTTGCCTCGTTTTCCCTTTTCGGATTTCCCCTCAGCCGACGGTTCCCATCATGACTCCAAGTAGCGATTAGCAGTCGGGTACTCTTGGAGTTGAAAGACTTCAGATGAGCCAAAACTGAAATGACGAAATATGCAGGAATGCCTGATCTTTGGATGATTGTTGCCAGTAACCTGGTTGACGTTGTTGCTGGTTTGTAGCGAAGTACTGGTGGGTAGAAATCATCGATTCCAGAGATTATTCTACGACGATCCATCGATCTTCTTCCCTACTGATGGCTACTGAGTCTTCTTTAAAATGTAATGTAATCATCATACTCTAACACTTGAATCCCCTATGCATGTCTAAAATCGTGGCCTTTGGATGCTGTCCCCAGTGCTGGATGCCTGCCTGATCGCTGAGTGGGGATCGCATCTGCTGCCATGAAATGAACCACAGTGATCAAGACCACAAGCAAATTTATTATCAATAATCGGCGTCTCTGCAGAACATATTTTCTTTCCTATGGGGATATGGGCCTGCAAAGGGATTTTGCTCGCGTCAAGTGACCTACCTTATATTCATCGGAAAGTTCTAGGGATGTCATGCCAGATGGGTAATATTTCCGACGGTTACTCCTGCATCCAATGACCCTTCGCTCCATGGATTTCGGCTGCTTTACAACAGGTTTAACCCCCCAATACAATCCGTCTTGATTTCATAATGGTTTGACTTTTGAAACGATTGCCAAGGGCTCCTACATAATCATCCCACGGTCGGCAATCGGTATCCAAGAGCGGAGGAAGTCCGACATACTTGATCCCCCACCCCCACGTCCAGCGGAGAATGGGGGGTAATGGTCCCATGAAGCTCTTTTACATTATTGGAATTCTCGCTACAGCTGATCGATCATTTGTATCTACTCCTGTACGCTCTGATTTTGTCGTCCAGCAAGCCGCATCGTCGTCTAATCATTGACGAGACGAGCAGCTCCTTATCCTAAACTCTCCCCGCAACTCCCTGCCGAAGTCGACGCCATGGTCAAGATCAAGAGCATCGAATATTTCCGTGTCCTTCCCAGATGGCTGTTCGTCAAGATTGTTGACGAAGACGGCCAATATGGCTGGGGTGAGAGTACGCTTGAAGGTCATACCGAAGCTGTGGAAGGGACGCTTAATGCATTGTGCAAGAGATTCCTGGGCTATGAAGCAGAGTATGCGCTCAGACTATCCGTCACAGTTTCATCTACTGACCGGTTGACATTTCCGCTCCAGCGATATTGAACACATCTGGCAAATGGCCTGGCGACTCGGTTTCTACCGCGGAGGTCCGGTCTTCATGTCCGCCATCTCCGGCATTGACATTGCACTCTGGGATCTCAAGGGCCGCCGGCTAGGTGTCCCCGTCCATCAGCTCCTTGGAGGCAAAGTCAGGAACAAGCTCTCCGTCTACGCATGGATCGGCGGAGACCGTCCAGGCGATGTCGAAGCTGCGGGCAAAGCACGACTAGCGCAGGGCTTCAAAGCGATCAAGATGAACGCTACAGAGGACATCAACTGGCTGGATTCGCCCAGTGTGCTCGACTCATGCGTCGAGCGCCTCAAGGCCGTCAAGGCGCTCGGCCTCGACGCCGCCCTCGACTTCCACGGCCGACTGCACAAACCCATGGCGAAACAGCTCGCCAAGGCCCTCGAACCTCACCGGCCGCTGTTCCTCGAGGAACCCCTTCTCTCCGAGCACCCGGAGGCCATCAAGCAGCTCGCGGATCAGGTCTCGTGCCCCATCGCGTTAGGCGAGCGGCTTTACAACCGTTGGGACGTGAAGCGGTTCCTCGAGGACGCGAGCGTCGATATTCTTCAGCCGGATATCAGCCATTGCGGTGGGATTTCGGAGCTGCGGCGCATTGCCTCCATGGCGGAGACGTATGATGTTGCCATTGCACCTCATTGTCCTCTGGGTCCGATTGCCTTGGCGGCGTGTATGCAGGTTGATCTCGCCACACCCAACTTTGTGATCCAGGAGATGAGCCTGGGAATCCACTACAACACGGAGGCGGGCGAGTATGATATCACAAGCTACGTAAAGGATCCTAGTGTCTTTGAGGTTAGGGATGGTTATGTTGATGCCCTGACGGCTCCCGGGCTGGGCATTGAGGTCGACGAGGAGGTTGTTCGGCAAGTCGCGCTGAAGTCGGAACCCTGGCTGTGCAAGGAGTTCTTCGGTCCTGATGGCGGTATTCGTGAATGGTGATCGGAGGCCTTGGGTGCACGCATTGTCTGAACTTTTGAATAGCGGTACATTGAATTATAGACTAATGGAAATGAGAAATAAATGATGTGAGCCGACGCAAACAACAGTCATCACCACGGGAGAACTTCGCAAAGCAAATGCCTCCCTTCCTTGAATAAATCTTCTATTACCCGGAGTCTACTATTTGAGAAGCGGCCTATATATGCTTATTCACAGTTTAAAGATAACAGTTAGTATTGTGCAATTCGTACCATCATGACTTTCGCGCAGCGTTGCATTCATCGGCGCGCGTGAGGCAATCCAAGATCAAACCCCAGAAAGCCTCCAGGTCCACTCCTCTGGGGATAGCTACACCATGTCCGCCCATGGGAGTAGCTAGTGTGCGGCCTAGCTGTCCAGTCTCCAACACATTCGTTGAATGGATGCCATCGGTAACCACGTCGACAGCAAACCGCTCACCATTCTTGTCATTGAACTTCAGGGCTTGGTCAGGGTGCTTTTTGGAAAAGACGGGGTTGAGATTTGAGATAGCGACGGCCACCGCGAGCGGATCGTGAAGTGGAGGGCCGGACGACAAGCCGAAAACGGTGTCGTAGGTCTGAGCAAAGAAGACCAGTAGGGCGTGCATCATTCTCCTGAGGACCGAGGGGGTCTGGGTGGGGTCGCTGGATCCATGGAGAATGCGGTTTTGCACACCACGAGAAGCAAGCACTTGGTGAGTCAAATCTAACCCGATCATTGTGGTCTTCGGTGCCAGGGTAGGATTGCTGAAAATAGATTTGGAGGCCTCAGGATCACACTGTTGACCGAAAATGATGTTAGAAAACGACCCGGAAATCAAACGCGATATTGATATACGCACGTAGATATTGAACTCTGCCCAGGGTGTCGTATTTCCAATTCTCTCATGTTCCCCCGGCAGTCGGCTCATGGGAGCATCTGTGAAGCCTCCACCAATGGCACCACCCATGATGCTAAGCCCCTGAATATGGGACGCTACTTCCGGAAACGTTGCGAAGAGCAAGCCAACATTGGTCAAGGTGCCGGTTGCGATAACCCAAGCCGTTCCCTTTGGTTGTGCCATGAGAGCATCACGCATTGCGACAATTGGGTTTTTGTCTGTCACAGGAAGCCTCGTTGCTTTCGGTAACAAATCAGTTCCATCAAGTCCAGAGTCGCCTGTATTATATTACGATATTAGCCCTTATTGTCTCATTGCAGCCATCGTATTACTGCTGGCGCAAGTATGGAAGGGGAGGGGTCGTGGATCGAACCGTGAATGTCCGGAGCGTGAACTGCAGGTCGGCAAAAAGGCTTCCTGCTGCCAGCATAGACAGGAACATCCGAACGACCGATGGCTTCGAGGACTCTTAGAGCGTTAGTCGTCGTATTCTCGAGAGAAGCGTTGCCGTGGACGGTTGTTATTCCTAAGAGATCCAACGATGGGTGATGCGCAGCGAGCAGAATAGCGAATGCGTCCTGAGACATTGCGTCTTTAGCCATCTCATGCAACCTATAGGAATGTCGCGTTCCAGCGTCAGTACTTACATCGTGTCCTGAATTCAGCTGGTTAGCATCAATGTAGCCAAAACAAGTATAGATGAAGCTTACGGACCAGGATCACAATCCAACCATAGAGGAATTGGGCTGTCAGGGGAGGGTGCCATTCTTGAATACTCGCAAGGAGAATGAAGAATGGTCTGGAGACTTTTGCTTCTCTCAAAACATCCACGTAGTTTTTGTTGACTGCGAAATGCGAATGCCTTGATGCTCCTCCTCGATAAGGTGCGGGGAACCGCAGATAAAGGGGGCTTGTTGTCTTATCGGCGGCGCAATCACTCCGCCGACTCATAACCCTGAGCCCTATTTTCTATATTGGGGTGGCATTATGTGGAGCTGCGCGTCATTGTGATTGGAGCTGAGAAGCTTCTACGCTTCTACCTGCATGAGCTGTTCATCGTCGGATTGTCCACTTCAACTGTTGGTGGCAGTCTCGATCTGAGGCTGAAAGTACCACTTTAATTACCCTGCTATACCTCTCCATGAGACCTTGAATGTAATTTCGCCCTTCTCATGTTATTACTGGGATGAAATGACCAGCGAACCTGTTCAGCCGGGTCTTACTCCGCTTTCACATCTCAAGGCCGTACCTACTACTTCCAGCTCCAAGCCAGTCGCATTCAAAGACTCGTCCAAGTTGCAGGCGCCTCCTCAGCTTCGACATCGATCTCGATTATCAAAAAATGTCATTCGTGATGAGCCGGTTAGCGCGACCAGTGACAAGGCAACGGTTGCATTGATAAGACGCGTTCTTTGTCCGCAGGCGGGCAATCAAAGCGGAGGTGCTTCAACCCCACAGCCATTGGAAGAACTGCTGCCTCCTTTGACGAGTTCAAATGAAGTTGATCTTCAACTGTATGCATTGATCGCCATCATTATCAGGGAATTCGTCTTCTCATGGTATTCGAAAATCACATC